TGGAAAAAAATTTTGCCATTTAAGTGACAGGATTTCTGGCAAATACCCTAACTTCTCTATTAAGTGTCAAACCACAGGGTATTTTAGATAACAGAAGTGCACCTATGCATCTTCAGAGGATCAGCAAGAGAAATTCTGTCTTCATTACTGACAAATACTTACTAATCTCCTTTCTGAGATTAGGAGAGCACATAACTGAGGAACAAGTGTAGTCCTCAGCCGTGCATTGCTGTCCTGCCTCTCACGAGCTGCAGGCAGCTTCAGAGGTACTGAAGCTAAGCAGCGCTCATGCTAGTAAAAACTAGACTGCACTACTGCTCAGCTGTTGACTCAACTGTCAAATATCTCAGCTTTGGAGAAGGCAATAATTGCACACAGTGAGTCTCTGTGCTTATTAGAAGGGAAAATGACCTCACGCTGTGAAGCAACAAACTGCTGTATGGACATACTTCTGTCCTTAAAGGCTCCAAGAAGAGCCATGGTCCTACCTCTGTTCTTTCTGCTTTTAGCCTTACACGAGATGCTGATGGAGCCTGTGGCTCCAGTCCAGGGAGGTTGTAGGACAGACATTTCTTTGCTGCAAGCAGACAGCGAAGGTGCTTAGTACACCTTATCTGCACTGCTCTTCCCGACAGTGGTGATGTATTCCCTGCTATTTCATAGATTACAGTGCACTAAAAAATTAAATGCATACTGCCATTTATTACCATAGTCTACCAGACTGTTCACAACAAGAAATGGACACTTCAGTGTCCGTGGGCCGGATAGAAGTTACCTGTTTATACCAGGGCTCTATTTGATGGCTGTTAGCAGGGCTGATCTCTGGTTTCTGGCCTGTCTAATGGACAACTTTTTGATCGTCTATTAGAAATCATTTACCAAGTTGTTATTGGCTTCCTCCCTGCTTGCTAACAGATGTCACACTTGTGCACTAACCTCAGCTGTTCATAAGTCACAGCTCAAATCCAAACAACTCTCAGATGGTTAACTTCAAAAGCTTGACTGCTGCCTTCAGGCACTGCCTTTCTTTAGCTGACCATCACTGCTCCTTGGAATCAGCTGCTTTGTGCCAAGCTATTTCCCATTTAAACTGTGCCTTTAGACACTGACTATTCAACTCCTGTCCTGCCATCTTTCTCTCCTCCAAGGCACTGGTAAGACCCTGGAGAAATCTGTGTTAATAGCCACCATGACCTACATTAAGACAAGTTAATCTTTGCTTTGGGGAAAAAAAGCACAATTGTAAGCTTCTGTCTCTAAAAAGAATCAGTTAATGACATTTGCTTGGATTGAGAGATCCCAGCCTTTCCCTCATCCCTGTGGAAAACAGGTGTGAGGACCCTTCAAATTGCATATCAGCTGGGTGCATACTCCCAAGAGCTCACTCAAGAGCAAAATAATAATGGTAAGCAGATGTCAGATGTGTTCCAAAAATGGAGAACAGGAAATAAAGGGGTCTTCTAATCTATATCAAAATTATGCAGAAAATAGGCCTGTGCCAGTTGAAATCTAGTAAATATAAACTATTTTTTGTAAGTGTAAGGGTAAAAGACCCTTCTGGAAGATTTTACTACAAGGAAATTAGGGGGTTTTGCTTAAGAAAGCTTTCTTGCCTGGAAGAGGCATTTTTCCCAGAGACAGTTTTAAATGTTTTCTCCTTCTGTATTCCAGAGAAACTCTCTCTGCTATGAGGAAAAAATGAGTCCTTCCAGACATGCTTGAAGGCCCCACAGAGGGGAGGCCAGTGATGATTGGACAGCCACAGAAAACACATGAGAAGAACAGGGGGGCATGTCTTTCCCCAGGCCTGGTGTTTGAAATGTCATTAAGACATTTAAGCCTAGTGTCCTCAACTTTGGAAATGAATTTACCTACAATCTTTCCACTGCCTGGCATTTTGGGATACCTGCGCATTATCTTACTTCACAATAAGTATAGACTTCAAGTCTTTACATCTTAAAATGGGTTGCTCTAGGGTTGTACAAATTAGTCTGTCATACAGCTTTACAGCAGAGAGTAAGGCAGCTGTCTGCCCTGTCAAGACACAAAAGGGCAGATTCCCCAAAACAGTTTCTGGTAGGACATGCCCAGGACTATTTTAGGAAATTCTGAAAGATGTGCAGTCCGTGCGTGGGTGAGAGTTCTCGTTAGGGCATATAACCAAGAACATGTGATGTCTGAATCAATTTGGAGTGATTAGAACACTTGTGAAAAAGGAAGATATGACAGGCCACAACAAGTAATCTCCTACTCTATTTTTTTTTTAACATACAGACTTGTAATCCCATTACATATGTTGTAACCAAAATTCCAAGCCAAATGTGTGATTTAGAGACAAATCACTTTTCCTATATTTTTCTCTTTTTACACTTTGTGATGGTGGGAGAAGACAGTATTTTTTTCTTTAACACTTTCTGAGAAGTAATGCCCCAGATTGTATGCAAGCATATAGATACAGCGGTATATATTTTTTCTGATTTTACTGTATCATTAAATCCAGGAACAGAGGTTTAAGAATAATTCGGCAAGCTAGAATCATTTAGCACTCACCGCAACTTTCATTTTGCAGTATGTAAATTTTAAAAAAAGACATACAGGCACTTTCTTCCTCTTTTAAATAGACACTGCTCCCTGGGTGAACAGAATTTGGGGCTGGAACACTGCGCAGGACCAAGGTATCTGTTAAGGTCAATGCAGCCTTTTCAAACGATCTGCTTTCCATAAGGTATATCTGAACAAGTTGCTCCCACAGGCTTTTCCATTTCAGGTGATTCTGTGTTTTCATTCATGACTGTAAATACAATGGAAAATAACCCTAGAGTGCCCTTAACAGCACTGAATAAGGATAGGAGCAGGATTGATGCTGAAATTGTGCCAATTTTGCAGGCACTCAACGACTCAAAGAAATCTATGGTGTGCTCACTATCATAATATTTTTAGACCTTGTACTAATGACCAGAATATTGCCCTGGCCCCAAGGCTAAGTAGAACAGATTTTATTACAAGGCTATTTCATTGTATGATAGAAGTTTTGCCTTTCAAAGATGAAACAACCTGCAGTTATTTCTGCAGTATGTGTATCGCATGGAAGGTCAAGACTGTGCTTGACTACAGAGGCTGAAGGGTGTGATTCAGACCAAAGTGTACCAAAAGCTTACAAACCAAGGTAGAATTTATGCTGCCTCACATTTCTGCTCGGAGATAGACTTACTTTCAACTTTACATACATACATATAAGTATGCAGTTACTTTACTTCCACAGACACACAACTTATTTTCATCTTTTTATGTGGCCAGTTGCAGACTTTCACTTTTAAGCAAATTTCTAAACATACAGCTGACAACATTCTGGGAGAAGGGGCCCAAATACTAAAACCATTGAAGATCATCAATATGACAGGTGTAGGTTTTGTCATTGGACAGTCATAGAAAACACATAAAATTCCTTTAGTTCTGCTTCAAATGAACTACGGACTTCTTTAAAGTAAACAAAGAGTTAGGCAGAACGTGCATATAGCTGTTTGTATTTTTCAGTTGTTCTAACAGGTGTAATGCTAAATGCACTTGTGTGCTAGTTTTGGCTGGGGTAGAGTTAATTGTCTTCACAGTGTCTAGTATGAGACTGTGTTTTGAATTTGTGCTGAACACAGGGTTGATAACATAGAGATGTTTTTGTTATTGTTGAGCACAGCTCTTGTGGAGCCAAGACCTTTCCTGCTTTTCGTACTGCCACACTGGTGAGGAAGCTGTGGGTACATGGGAAGCTGGGAGGAGACACAGCTGGGATGGGTGACCTCAATTGACCAATGGCAAATTTCACACTATATGACATCATGTTCAATATATAAAATGGGGGGAAGAAGGAAGAAGGGGGGAACATTCAGAGTGATGGCATTTGTCTTCCCAAGTAACCGTCACACATGAAGAGGCTCTGCTCTCCTGGAGATGGCTGAACACCTGCCTGCCCACGGGAAGCAGTGAATTAATTCTTTTTTTTCTTTGCTTGTGTGTGTGGCTTTTCCTTTCCCTATTAAACTGCCTTTATCTCAACCCACGAGTTTTATGGCTTTAACCCTTCCAATTCCCTCCCCGATTCTGCTGGTGGGCAAGTGAGCGAGTGGCTGCATGGAGTTTGCTTTCCAGCTGGGGTGAAACCATGACAACTTGAAAATCTTTGTCTTCTGGTTCTACCTTCCACTTTTAAATGCTTTCACCACTAGTTACTTATTTTACGGTAGATTGGGAGTTTTCAGGCAACTGGAGAAAGCAAGGTCACAGAAAATTCCTGTTTAAATTCATATACCACCTCTTCCTTCAGGCTCAAGAATGATGCATCCTGATGAGCAAGAAATTGGGCAAAGGAGGCAAGAAACCAACACGAATGAATAAAGAACTCCTCTCATTACTCAGGTGTAAGCAGGAAATACACAGAAGATAGAAGCAGGGTCAGGCCACTTGAAATGAATATAGAGAGCTTGTCAGAGTAAGTAAATGAGATGAGGAAGGCTAAGGCCCACCTGGAATTAAAAATGGCCAAGGATTTTAAGGAGAACAAGAAGGGCTTCTTTAAATACATCAAAAACAAAAGGAAAACCAAGGATAATGTGGGCCCACTACTGAATGGAGGGGGGATCGTGGTAACAAAGAATGCAGAGAAGGCAGAATTCCTGAACACTTTCTCAGCTTCAGTCGTCACTGACAAGACCAGCCCTCAGGAATCTCTGACCCAGGAGGCAGGTATAAAGCAATGTTGAAAGGTAGACCTTCCCTTGGTCGAGGAGGGTCGGGTAAGAGAACACCTAGACAAACCTGACATCTACAGGTCTGTGGGCCCTGATGGGGTGCAGCACAAGTGCTGGGAGAGCTGGCGCCTCATTCTGGAGGCCGTTGCTATCCACATGGATGACAAGAAGGTGATCAGGAGTAGTCAGCATGAATTCTATAAAGGTAAATCACGTTTGACCGACCTGACTACCTTCTATGATGAAACAACTACCTAGATGGACAAGGGGAGAGCAATGGATATTGTCTACCACGACTTCATCAAGGCTTTTGACACTGACTCTCACAACACCCTCATACACAACTGCAGGAAGTGTGGACTGGATGAGTTGACAGAGAGGTGGATTGAGAACCGGCTGGATGGCAGACTGCAGATGGTCCAAGTGGTGGCCTGGTACTGGTGGTGTCTTCTCAGGGGCCAATATTGGGCCCAATATTTTTTAACTTATTCATCAATGAGTTGGATGAAGGGGCAGATGCTTCCTCAGCAAGTTCACTGACGACACAAAGCTGAGAGGAATGGCCAATAGCCCAGAGGGCTGTGCAGCCTTTCAGAAAGACTTTGACAGGTTGGAAAGTCGGGCAGAGAGGAACTGTCTGAAATTCAACAACAGCAAATGCAGGGTCCTGCACCTGAGGAAGAATAACCCCACGCACCAGCACACCAGGTGGGGCTGAGCTGCTAGAGAGCAGCTCTGTGGAGAAGGATCTGGATGTCCTGGTGGACAACAAGCTGTCCACACAAGCAGTATGCCCTTGTAGCCAAGAAGGCCAAATCCTGGATTGTATTAGGAAGAGCACCGCCAGCAAGTTGATGGAGGTGATCCTGCCTCTTTATTCAGCCCTGGGGAGGCATATCTGGAGTGCTGCGTCTAATTTTGGTCTCATCAATACAAGAGAGACATAGGGCTCCCACAGTGCATCCAGTGGAGGACTACAAAGCTAATTAGGGCACCAGAGCATCTCTCTTACAAAGAAAGACTGAGGGAGGTGGGCCTGTTCAGTCTTGACAAGAGATGACTGAAAGGAGACATCATCAATGCCTTCAAGTATCCAAAGGGAGGCTGTCAAGAGGATGGACCCAGGTTTTTCTTGGTGATGCCAAGCAACAGGACAAGAGGCAATGGGGAGAAATTGATGCACTGTGAGTTCCACTTGAATATGAGGAAGAACTTCTTTACTGTGTGGGTGATGGTGCACTGGAGCAAATTTCCCAGAGAGGTTGTGGAATTTAGCTCACTGGAGATATCCAAGAACCATCTGGATGAAATCCTGCCCAACATGCTCTAATATAAGGTTGGACCAGATGACCCACTGTGACTGATGGACCAGATGACTTCCAATCTTATCCATTCTGTGATTCTTTGAAGATAAGCCACTCCTTCAGGTCTGAGTTGGGTTTTTGCTTTTGCACAGACAACCCTAAAGTATTTGAGGGAGGGGAAAATTAAGTTGCAAAACTTGATACAGGATAGAAAACTCTTTCCTCAAGATGCTTGATCAGTGTGTGTCTGCCTTGTAACTTAACTTGTATGAGTAGTGGAGTTATCTAGGCTTCCCTGAGCAGAAAAACTTAAGAGAAATAACATATCTACATAACACACAACAATGACGTCTAAATAAGAGGCAACAAATACCATTGCCTGAAGACAACAAAGAAAAATCTTGTTTGCAGCATCTTGGATTAAATACACTTTCATCAATATCAAGTCATGTGATGAATTTGGTTACTTGATGTTTTCAGTTCAGAGGAGACCTAACAGAGCTTTTCATACAGCTTTACTCTCAGACAGCACTGATGACAAGTGTGACACCCCCCCAAGTCACACTAGTGCTCGTGTGCACCATAAACCCACATCTTTAATAAATGTTCTCTGTTGTTTCATGCTCACAGGAGTTGTCTTTCATATAAGGCACCCACATATCTCTGGATGAAAACAGACTTCCAACTTTACACACAAAGTCCAGCTGAGCAGCTTCTGAAGTTAATCCTTTGAAAGATCCCCACCAGTCAAGAAGTGCTACTGCCTGTTCCACTAGTCAGTGGGTCCTTTGTATTTCCCTTGGAGTAGAATTAATTCTTTTTTCAAAAAAACCCAATGAAAACTATGACTTGCAGAGACTTTGCAAAGTCTGTTTTCAGAAAGCGATATCACACACGGTGAGAAGGAGAAGACCCCACAACTCCCTATACTGCTAATGTCCTGTCAGAAATCATGTTCTCCTGCCTGTCATCCATGTTTAATTAATTCCTCTTTGTGGGATGGTAACACCTCTGGAAAGCCACCTTTGACCAGAAACAAGTCACATTCTAATCACTTCTTATAAATTTCAAGTTCATGGAATTTGGTGGATAATGGATTTTGTTAAAGGCCCCTACCAACTTAGGGGATTGTAATTGGTTATCTGGTTATTGAATTTGGTGGAACAGGTATATAATACAACTGAAAGTCTCGTTCTGATTGCATGCAATAGGAATTTTCCATCAGGTACTGAGCAACTGTGTAAAAGGGAAGTATTATAGACAACAGCAGCAGCTAGAACAGCAGGCTGTCTGGTTAATCCATTTTTTTATCTCCCTTTCAAGAATGAGCAGGAAGTAAACATGCACTGTGTTCAGACTCATCATTTATTAGAGATTAAAGAGAAAATGGTCTGATCTTCCTGGTATCTTTTAATACCAAACATGCCTAAAATGATGCTTTAGAACATCCCAGGGCCAGAAGAGCAGGCTACACTTTTGCCATATAAGGGTCACTCGTTCAGGAAGAGACTTACAATTTAAGGAAAAAGATGAAATGGTGCCTCACTCAGTGCATCCCATTATTTTTCAGTGGAATGTTTTCCCTCCCAGCAATTCTGCACTGAAATTTAATGAGCTGACTCATGCTGTCTAGCCAGACAGGGACACAATGCTATCAAGCAATGGGTGGAGAGCAGGGAATTAAAAACTGTATGCTTTAATGGATATTTCCTAGTATTAGTATTGTAACTGATTCGAGAAAAAACATTTAATAACAAACTTAATTAACAGCTTGTCTGGACCCAGTGCAATTCCCAAACATCCTCCTCAGATGCAGAGGGATAGAACTGTAAATCTGGACTCCATTCAAATACACAAAATATCTCCTTCCTAGTGGCTGAGCAAACATTGCTTTATGGTTATGCTCCCCATAACACAGACAGCTGGAAGGCGTTGCTGCAGACAAGTGAAAGACCTGGCCTACAGTACATAAGATCCTTCCTAGCCCATTACAGAAAGAAAAAATTTAGCTCCATTGGAGGCCTTGCACTTTGTGCTGAAAGCAGTTCTTTAGTTCAGCTAGCTTATCATTAAAAAGCTACTGTACCCAGCAAAGCTACAATGGAATTTACCAGAAATCACATGCGTACATTCAAGGGTACAAGCAAACATGAAATAAGTAATTATCCTCTGCATCATATTTGTCCAAGTCATTCTTTCTCCTTTAGAAGTTTGCAGAATTCTTGTCTATTTTGTCTGGAGCAACTTCGTTGCATCTTCCGAGATGAATACTACTAAACATCTTTGATTATAAAAATACTGAGCAAATGTTTAAAAAAACCCTCACATTTTTTTACATTTGGTTGTAATTAGGAAAAAAAAAGATTCAAAATAAAAAAAAGCTAGAAATAAACCACAGAATGAGTTTTCAAAGAACAAAGATGCATATGCACCATTGCACCATAATCACACATCTTGGATGTTCTCTAACCATTAGTTCAGCTATATTTTAAGTGCAGTTATGACATCTAAGACCTGATATGGCATCTAAGACAAGAGAAATGTCTGCAAAGTATAAATCCATTGAGAAATATGAGTGTTCCTTCTGCACATGGTAAATATATTCATGTACAAATAGAGAAGTCAGTGTGATGACAGCTCAGTTTTTAATTTATTTCTACTACTCAAGTTAGGTGGGAATATGTTTTTCTTCTTGTATACCTCCTATATGGCAAACACAGTTGCATTAAATTGTCTTAGATCCTACAAACAATATGCAATTTTATAAAAATTGCAGGAATTATCTGCCATGGCCACACACATATCCACAATGTCAAATACAATCTAGCCTTCTAGCTGTTATTTCCTTTTACTTGAATTGTGACTCGTATAGACAGTCAGGTTAAGAGGATTAAGGCTGTTTGTCCACTTACAGCAGACAGTGTTTCTTTGGGATATTTAAATGACTAATATAAGCCTTGATTTTTAAAGGAATTTTGGGGGGGGGAGAAAACTTGAAATGTCCTTGTTTAGCTACAAAACCAGCTAGGAGCACAGGAGCAATTCACTGTTTTCTGCTCATACATCTCTTTCCCCAAGTCTTTCTGATCTGTCAATAACTAACCAGAGCAGTCCTAATAAAGCAGTAATGTGCAAAAGTCCCTTGTGAAAGACACTGTAATTTAGAATCAAGTATGCTGTTACTGGACAGTAAAGGAAGGATCTTGGGGGAAGATCAGCTTGGTTTGTTAAGTATTCTGGCATGTTTTCTGCATCTGTTTTTCGTCAGAGCCTTGCAACTGCAGCTGTAAGAAAAAGATGAGTCAGACATCCACTCCCTTGGTGTTCTGCGACCAAGACAGTCTAATTACAGAAAGAAGAAGAACCAGTTTTTGGAAAGCTAAATCACTTCACCTGAGAGGGTGGGACAAGGCTGTGGTACAAAGCAATCTCAGGCTGCACACAGAACAGCAAAAAATAAATCTTGTAAGTACTGCCTGTGCCTTCTAGGTGAATGAAAATTAAAAGGCAGTGGGGAAAGATGCTTTAAAGTGAGTGAAAAGCAGCAATGGTCAGGCTTAAGGAGGGATATTTATTTTAAAGCCTCCATGACTTCCCTCTTTTTAGAGAAAATATGTAAGAATGTACATTGAGAAAAAACTTAACGTCTGTTGAAATGCAGTCCATGAAAAAGTCAAAGGCTCACCCACTTAGATAATGCCTGGTTTTAGTTGTTTTTGAACTAACTACGATAGAAGTGCTTCTTCCACTACTTTGCACTCTATTATTGTTTTTCATGATCTAATGAGCCAATTTAATCTGAAACTTCTCAAAATTACTTTCTGACTTCCCTTACTTGAGAAGTGTCCCCAACAGTTTGCTGTGGCTTGCCTCCAAGAATGCTAAACTTTTGTATCTATAGTTTAGTTTGGGATACAGGAAGTATTTTAACAGTGACTGTGTTTAAATCACTACCACACAGATAACAAAACTCTTTACTTGTATGACTTCTCTTTATTTTTGAGACAAATAAAGGACTTTTTTTTTTATTTCCTGGAGATGCACAATGAACTAAGTTTCTCAGAACTAACTTTGTATTTTTATAGAAGTTCACATATCTTTTTTTTGTGTGTGCTTTCACATCAGTTCTCCCTCTTGCTCATTTGTCCTAAAATTCAGTGCAAAAAAACCCCAAACAAAAGAACCCAAAAAAACAAAGCAAAACAAACAAAACCCTCCACTTAAAAACCTTCTTAGGAGCATAAGAACATTCTTTCTATTGAATCCAAAAGCTCCCTGTGGTATAAACTGTCTTTTTGGACCTGAATTGTGCAGCATCTTGCACTGTCACATTCTGATACATGGCTAATGGTCTAAATATGATAATAAAAATGACACTAGTGCATGCCAACTTAAATGGAAACTTTTCAGTGTATCTAGCAATCTATAATGATAACAAATATACAACAGTACAACAGAATAAATGTCCCACCAATTTCTTTTATAAATGTGCATAATTGAGACAACATGCAAGACCAGGATGGTAACATTTGGATTTTTAAAAGCACTTTAAAAAACATTCAAATTTGTGTACAGAAAGCTAGGAAAGCCAATTATTTACTTTTAAAATGTAGCTATTTTTAATTCCAAATTATTTTCATGAAATCATAAAATAATCCCGATTGGAAAGGACCTCCGGAATTAATTTATCTCACTGCTGGAAGCAGGTCCAGTTACATCAGACTGCTCAGAGAACTGTCAAATCAAATTTTAGTTTCTCCAAGGTCAGTGATTTCATACCCTGTCTCATGGTTTTTCCCAACGGCTAATGGGATTTCCCATGTTCCAGGTCACATTCACTGCATCTCATCCTGTTGCTGTTCACCACTGTGAAGTGTTTGGCTCAATTTTCTCTGCTCCCTCCCTCAAGGGAGCTGCAGTCAGGAAAGAGTTCTCTCCTTCCCCTTCTCCTTCCCAGGCTGAACCAGCCCAGTGTCCCCCACTTGCCCTTGAAAGCCTTGTTTTCCAGCCCTGATCATCACAGTGACCCTTCTCTGGACCTTTGCAGGAAGAAATTCTTTACTGTGAGGGCAGCAAAGCACTTGAACATGTTGCACAGGGAAGCTGTGGATGCTCCATCCCTGGAAGTGTTCAAGACCAGGCTGAATGCAACTCTGGTGTAGTTAAAGGTGTCCCTGCTCACAGTAGATGGCTGGAACTGGGTGATCCTTAAAGCCCCTTCCAACCCAAACCATCCTATGACTCTACGATTGAGGTCCCTCTGTAGCACGTTGGTTGCTCCACCCAGTTTGATATTGTTGCCAGCTTTCTAAGATTGCCCTTCATCACGTCATTCATGTTGTCAATAAACAAATTGAACAAAGCTGTGACACTTCCTCCTCATCTGTATCCCAGACTTTTGTTTGGTTGTTGCAGGCCTGTGCATGAAGAGAGAGTGTGCCTGCTGCTGACACAAAGCACAAGTTTTCAGGCTGTCCCATTCCAAGGCTCTCCAAAATGCACTTTGTCCACTTCTTCTTGTACTCTGTGGCTTGGGCTTTTGCCTCTGCAGGATGTGTAAAAAAAATGTGGAGATCCTGCCCCTCCTTCCTAATGCTACACAGTCTGCTCATCTCCTCCTGCCACTCTTGAAATGGCTTCTTTAAACATGAAATCCAACAGGATGAGGTTCAACAAGGCCAAGTGCCAGGTCCTGCACTTTGGCCACAACAACCCCCTGCAGTGCTACAGGCTGAGGACAGAGTGGCTGGAGAGCAGCCAGGCAGGAAGGGACCTGGGAGTTTGGATTGACAGGAAGCTGAACATGAGCCAGAGTGTGTCCAGGTGACCAAGAAGGCCAATGGCATCCTGGCCTGGATCAGGAACAGTGTGGCCAACAGGTCCAGGAAAGTGATTCTTCCCCTGTACTCAGCGCTGGTGAGGCCACCCCTGGAGTGCTGTGTCCAGCTCTGGGCCCTCAGCTCAGGAAGGACATTGAGGGGCTGGAGCAGGTCCAGAGAAGAGGAATGAGGGTGGTGAAGGGACTTGAGCATAAGCCCTGTGAGGAGAGGCTGAGGGAGCTGGGGTTGTTCAGCCTGGAGAGGAGGAGGCTCAGGGGAGATCTCAACACTCTCTACAACTCCCTGACAGGAGGCTGTAGCCAGGTGGGGTTGGTCTCTTTTCCCAGGCAACCATCAGCAAGACAAGAGGGAACGGTCTCAAGTTGTGCCAGGGAAGGTTTAGGTTAGATATTGGAAAGAACTTCTTTACAGAGAGGGTGGTCAGACATTGGAATGGGCTGCCCAGGGAAGTGGTGGATTCTCCATCCCTGGAGATTTTTAAAAAGAGAGTGGATGTGGCACTTAGTGCCATGGCCTAGTAACCACAGCGGTAGTGGATCAAGGGTTGGACTTGATGATTTCGAAGGTCCCTTCCAACCCAGCTGATTCTATGATTCTGTTTATGATTGAGATTCAGGAGAGACACATCTTCCTCATCACCTTCACCAACATGGACCTGAGTCAGCAGGCTTTAGAAAACAGCTTAGAAAACTGTTAGTATCATTTGGTTAGTATCATTTGGCAGTTTGACCTTTTCCAGGTATGAGCATTTTAACACTTCCATATGACCTCAGAAGCGTATATGTGACACATGATCCCGTGAGTGCCTCTAAAAATAGAGGACCCTCCCTGAATCCACGCCAAGTGCCGTGTTTCGCAGAAGGCATTTAAAATAAAGATGAATGTTCACAAATATTCTTAAGAATACTCTTAAGAGAAGCTTCTCATCTTAGGAAAAAAGCAAAAAATGATGCATGAAATAGCCCATTGCAGATGTAAACCAAATGACTTTTTTAATGCCCTTCTGAAATGTAAACACCTCCTTGCTGCAGGGGTGGCTGTAACTTACTGTTTGGATATTGATAATCACGCTGTGTTTGCCTTACACTTTGAGGAACTCAAACAAAAGGACTGGTCCTACACGTCCTGGCAGAGTTACCTGTTGTAGCTCTGCAGATGAGCACCAGCTTTCAGACACTTGAGTGTAGGGGGTACTGCTAACCACCACGCTCACATGCAGAAATGATCGCTGTCCATTGTGTAACTCAAGGGGAGAGGAAAGGTTCCAACAGTCAACCAGAGCTTATTTAAAGCAATAAAACAAAAGCTCACAATTCAAGCTCACTCCTGTTGCTCATTTTCTCCTCAGCCTGCAATCAGCTGACAAACAAAGAAAAGTGACTGTAACACAGTTTATTGAACAGAGAAATGTTTTATCAGATAATAACGCTGATAGGTATTTTAATTCCAGTGCTTATCTTTATTGCAGGTATACTGACTGACTGCAATAAATTTTAAATATGTATCTGAGGAAAGGTCTTAAGGGTGATTACCACAAGGAAGACTATGCTCTTCAGAACCTGAAAACCTGAAAATCTAGCTATATTTCCCCCACAGTCAAACAAGGTATTTTTAAATGGTAATTCCTCTTCCTTCAGTTTCATTCAGAGTGAAGCAGAAAAGGAAAATTTCTGTCACTGAATACCAGTTTCCAGAGCAATCATTCAATGAGAATTTGTAGCTCTGGACCCAGTCTCTGGCCACCCCAGTTCTGACCTGGAGACAAACCAAACTTCCCTATGCTGTGATCACTGGGTGAACATCTGCAGACCATCCCGCCAAGTACACAGAAAAACAAAGAGACCTCTAGTCGTGAAAGCAGAAATGTCTGACAGGAATGTCACTTTCTGATTTTGATGAGAAATTTCCAATCACTTCCACTAGAAACTTGTATTTCAAAAGACTCAACACTTCCTCTTCTGCCCCATAACAAGTAACCAGGGCAAATATTTAATCTGAACATTCCCCACCCATCTCCAGCCATCACATGATCTTCTTCACACAACCATTTTCACCCTGGCTCTCTGTGCTTCTGAAGGGCTTAATTTCTTCTCCCTGAGCGAAGAGCAGCTGACTGAGATGGCAATTTCAACCAGTTCTGTGATGAATGAGACAAGGGTTCTGCAGGCCTGGGACAACACTATTCACATGGGCTGGGAGGAGAACTGAGGGAAGGGTGATCTGAAATGACCACTTGTGTGTGCAGAGAACATCATGCTCGGCTTTGTAGAACCTGCCACTTCACACACTGACTACTGAGTTAAGGTTTTCAAATGGCAATTCAGGATACAGTTGCTTCCACAGCCATTGGATGAGGAATTATCACCTTCTCCAACTGGAAGAGTTGTACTGCACTCGTCTTCTTTTCCTTTTGCAGTATTATTGAGAGTCAGAGCCATGTGGTTTCTGTTAGCTATGTTACAAAGTTCAAGAGTTAAAATTAATGGGCTTGAGGAGCTGATTTGAAAATGCCACATGCCTGTTATACTTTATTTTTCACTCCCCACCCGTAGTCACCTGCTTTTACAAACAGGCTGATGGTGCTAACAGGCTACTTAAAGTTTCATTAAAAAAGAAAATCCTTCCTTGATCAGTTAACTGCAATTCCCAGGATTAAGTTTATTCACTGCCAGAATGGTATAATGACTCATCTCCTATGTTAAGAGCCAATAACTTACTACAATATCTTGGAATTTCTCCCAGCACTGACACAGGGAGAATTTGGGACAAATTAAGTTAATCTCCTTCAGAAACATGATTAAAACCACATTTTTAAGATTTTTACTTTTATCCTTGATGCAAAGGGCAATACCTTCACTTTTCCAAGCTTGCAGGGGCAATGAAAAGTAGGGCCTCTCCAAAGGTGAGGATAGAAGAAGGAGAGGTAAAAATCTCTTCTGGTAACATCAAGCTTAGTAAGTCAACTTCAGGTGGTCCTGATCTAGTTACATTAAATTTAACAATTTCCTACCCCTGATGGCAGGGTGTGAGAGGATGGAAAAATATAGTCAAGAGGCACCTTAGCTACCTTATCTCTTCTGAGATTTGTAACTTCACTTAAAATGTAAATAAATATCTGTATTTTATGTGCTCAGCCAAATGCTTCAGTGTTATGTGAATGTGAAACAGAAGACATTTATTTGTCTTTATGAGAGTCTGAAAAATACTAAGAAAACAAGTTGGAGACAACAGGAAAATGACATTAGGAAATAAATCAATATCTCAAGAGAACTCCCAATACTACTGAAGCAAATTTCTACCTTCTTTCATTCAAGAAGCAGAACTGCAACTATAGCTCTAATTTTTGGGACTGGACTATGTTCCATAGATTTACTTGATGTTGTCTTCAGCCATCTTCCTCTGTATATCATACCTGATGGGAAAAAACAAGGGCAGGCAGAGGCTGTCAGGATTTTTTCAGGCACCTGCTGGTGAGTTAGATGGAGTTCTCTTTTCCTGTTTTATTCAATGTCGGTGAAAAACTCAGTGAAAAATCTGATGAAGGAAAAGAGTTTGTTCTTACTCCATGCTTGCATAAACCCAGGCTTCTGAACATGGGAGATTGTGGCTCAGCAACTTCAGACATGTTAGTCAAGACTGACTAGTTTAAGCCTAATTTCGAGTCATATTCTGAGTTACCTAACACTTCGGTATCTTAGTCCTTGGAATGAAATCCAAAAGGCCAGAAACAGCAAGGAAAGGTCCCTGTGTGTTGAACCAGAGGAGTGGATACTCAAGGAAGCAGGTACAATAAAAACAGCTGCTGTGCAGGAAACCACCCGTGGCTTGGCAAACACTGTGCAGAAAGGTGTGACTGAAACCTCACTCCTTTCTCAAAAGCAGTCCCTAGGCTCCCAGCTGCAACTGGGCATCCTTGCAGACACAGACCCCAGGGTCTTCCTCGAAGATGAGCTCTGGTCTTCAAAGAAAAAACTGACCCAAGCAGAAATGCTCCCTTCAGCGAGCCCTTAGGCAAGGTGCTGTGGGGCTGATTCAGCTTGCCTCGGGCCAGGCAAACCGTTTGTGGCAAAAGATTCAGCTAAGGCTGTACCTGAGGTATTCAGCCCTCCCCTCCCTGCCAACAGGATGCTGACCCAGCTACCTGCAGACATTGACTGAAATATCCCAAAGCTATACATTAAGCAGCACCGCTTGATAGGAGGTTTTTGTCCCTGGTCTCCTGCCTTGACCACTCAAAACCATTGGTTTTGTGGTAGAAATTAGGTTAAAGTTTAACTGGCATTCCAGTGGCCCATACTAACATTGCGTTAGTATCGCCCTGAGCTTCTTGCGTTTGGAGGAGGTTCTTCCCATCCTGAGCAGCAATTCACTATTTAATGAGGGGGATCTGTTGTTCCACTAGCAGAGGTGAACATTCACATTTAGGAGCAGCAGGATTTCACCACACACCATTTCCAGGCCACAGAAACAAGCATGTGATTTATGTGATTTATATGCAGGCAGAATGGTTAGACTGGTTGGCAACTTCTTATGATAGTATACTAAGAAAATTACAGGATATGTAAGTTTTTCTGTTGGCTTTTTTTTTTCCCCACTAGATTTCTAGCTTTTGTTTCCACTGTGTCCTGAAAATAGCAGGTTCCCTTTTCTGGGCATGCTCAAAATTTTTAGACCCGATAAAGCTCTAAAATTCTCAGATAGGCTTTTGTTTGGGTTGGGGATTCTTTCTAAAGACTTGGATACCTAATTCACCCACATACTGCATTTATTAACATTTACTTTCATGTGTTATCCACGCTTAATAGGATGGAGTAGGATTTTGGCAGTAGTAGAAAACTTTACATGCTTTTCCCAGCATTTTTGCCAAATGGCCATAAAAGTCCATCTGATAGATGGCCAACGAAGGGAGGTGGTCTAAAACCACAATTTCTCAAACAATATGGAGAGAAATATGCTCTGGAACACCTTTGATCTGTTAGCAAACAAAGTATTTATTCACTGGGATGAAATAATAAGCTTTCTTCAAATCATTAATACAATGAAGAGAAAATAAAGATCTCTACTACTTTGTGCATATCCCAAAATCTGATAATATTTCCTATTTCTACTGAGCAATGGTACCTCTATTTTTATCTCTGTGATGAAATGAATATGTTGTGTGCAGGAGAAGGGTTTCTATGGCTAAAGCAGTTGTCACTGTATGCATCCCCAACTTCCTGCTACTGCCAGCAACACAATTGAGCAGCATCCCTGCCATTGCAGATGAGTTTTCAGGTGTATCACGCTGCAGTTGTAGGAAGCAGTGGGCTGTGTCTCTGTCTCATACATCCTGCCTACTCAAGAGGTGACTTTCCTGGTTGTTCCTGCATAACACAAAGTTCACCAGAAAGTTGCCAACAGCAGTCATGGTGGAGTTTGCTTTCACTGAATTGAAAGTTCTTTTTGAAAACAGCCTGGTTTTGTTGGTTTGGTTTTGGTTTTTTTTTGCCTT